TGTCTCAAAAAAGACAAAAGATATGGGCTGGGTAGTTGGCTACAAAGTGAACACAAGGCCAGCCTGAATTGCATAGCAAGATTCTGTCTCAAAAAAAAAAAAAAAAAAAAAAAAAAGAAAGAAAAGAAAAGAAAAGAAAAGAAAAGAAAAAAGAAATCTGATTTCCCCTTTCCCAAGGGTTTTACTAAGTTTTTAACAAATGTTTTTACTTTTTAAAAGATTGCTCCAGGCCAGCTCTCTGCCAAAAATGAGCCTGAGGTGTAAAAAGATTAAAGATTTCAAGTCTTTAGTGCATGGAGGCGCACACCTTAACAGCAGCACTCAGGAGGCTGAGGCAGGAGGATCCTTTTGCATTCAAGGCCAACCTGGAAGAACTAAACCAAACCAGAGAAAACAAAACAAAACCTTCAAGTCTTTCTCAGTCTGATCCTTCCTTCCCCTGGGTGTGTGAGATGCTTTTGTAATCCCCCCCCCAAGTCCATCCTTTTGCTTGCAGAGATCCTGTCTCTACTGTATGGGTCCCCCCCTCAAACACACACACACACACACACACACACACACACACACACACAACCCAAAAACGAGATGGACTGATTTACTTTTGCAATTCTGGGAATTGAGCACTTGAACCCAGGAAGTGTTAAGCTATACCACAGGATATTTTGGTTTTTGAGACAGAGTGTTATGTTGTGTGTCCAGCAGTCCCCACACAGCCTCATATGTCACAGGTGGGGCTTTGACGGGCTGGATCTAGAGTAGGTGATGGTAGGATTGATTCATGGTGTAATGCCGGGATCAATCGTGCTAGGAGGAAGGGTGTGAGTGCTGTCTGCCCTGAGGAGCTTGGATAAAATATAAGAATAGAAAGTGGTTGTCCCTTGTTGCTTTGCTGCCCTCTGCCCGCCATGAACTGTCTGCAGTGCCACTCTGCCTTGGAGCCAGCCAATTATAGAATGAACCTCTACAAACCATGAGCTAAATAAAGCTTTCCTCTCTTACCCTTTGGGTGTTGGGTATTTTGTCTCAGCACCGAGAAAAGTAACTAAGACTCAGGGTCTCACGGTGTAGCCCAGGCTGGCCTGGAACTCACAGCGATCCTCCTGCCTCAGCCTCCAAGCGCTGAACTCCAGGTGTGCACCACCACGCCCGGCTCACTCACAACCTTCCGAAGCTCTGCTTCTTCATGGGTGAGCAGAACTGTCGTGAAGGGGAACCAGAGGAAGGGTGCAAGGGCTTCAGTACAGAGCTTGGTGCCTGGCGCGTTCCTGGTGGTGTTCTCTTACTAGGGCAACAGCTCAGTCATCAGACGCCTTCCCTGTCCCCTGCCCTTCCCCTCAACCCATGTGCTGAAGTGTTGACCCTCCGCCCAGCCAGATACTCTGGACTGTGACCTCAGGCTTGCAGACTTCCCGGGTCACTGACTCTTGGCCTCCGCAGCAGGGACGCCAAACTCACACAAGGGCTTTGCTGAATTCTTTTTCCTCCACGTGTATTAAGCGCCCAGGAGAGGCTTGGGATGTGTTTGTTGAATGAATGAGCGAGCGACAAGCCATTTCACCTTCTAGATCTGTCCCACCCGTCTTGCCCAAGCCTGCGGTCACAGATTTGACCCCTGAACCCGGTCCCCAGCCTCGACACCCAGCGACACCCGCGGCGACACGCCCGGGGCTGGGTCTGCCCGCCTAAAGCCCCGCCCACAGCGCGGGTTGGACGACGGAGGCAACACCCACCGGCTGGGCCACCTTGGATTGGCGAGGCCTCCCCGGGGAGGCGGGTTCAGGGCGGGAGAGGGCCAGCTGCCGCCTTCTTTGCCAGAAAACTCCAGCCCGCGGACTGCGTGAACACAGGCTGCGTGGACAGCAGGGTGAGTGCGGCGGCTGGGCCGATAGGAGCCGGGGACGCGGGGACGGTGGTGCGCGCCGGGCACTGCACAAGCCCGCTCCCTACGGGCTGCGATGAGCCGAAATCATCAGTCCGCTCTTGTCTTCCAGACCCGGAGACCGAGGCTCCCGGACGACCAGGAACCGCCCAGGATGGCCTCGGAGGTGAGTGTGGCCCCAGCCTGCGAGCAGGGTTGGGGGTCGGCCCAGCTGTGACCCGCGCGAGTGATTGGACCCGGCGCCCCCAGGTGGCCGCGTGACACACACACACACACACACACACACACACACCCCTACCTCTTGCCCGGAGGTTGGCAGGCTCTGACTGTGTGCAGCTCCAGGGCCGGGCAGGGCGGGGTGGGAAGAGCCGGAGGGAGGCCCTCAAGGTGCTTGGGCCTCTTGGTGCCTGCCTGAGGCTGCCACTGGTCCCTGGCAGGGAGGGACGATGACCGCTGTCCATTTCCTGCCTGCTGTAAAATAGAAGCGGCTGTTTGATTCCAGGCAGGGCATAACCCTCTCATCCCAGCAGCTGGGATTACAAGTTGGCAGGAGGATTACAAATTGGAGCCCAGCCTGGGCACTTTAGACACTTAGTGAGAACCTGTCTCAAAAGATAAAAAAGGCTGGGGAGGTAGCGTGGAGAGAGACCCTGGCTTCACTTCCCAGTGCTGCGAAAAATAGAACAACATAGAAGAAAAGAGAAAGGGGGAATCATTGTTTGGCTGATGCTAAAGAAGGGAACCTGTACCTGGGAAGCAGAAGCCTGGGCCCCAGCCCCTCTGTCCTCAGTCTCTGTGACGAAATGAAGGTCTGGGTGGGGACAGAGGTTGTGAGGAGGCGGCCAGGGACCCCGGAGCAGGGGCCCAGACTGGAGCCTCCCAGGTCCAGTTTTTGTCCTGAACTCCTCATGCCCACCTCACGGGGAGCATGGACCCAGCCCAGGTCCGTGCTGCAGGTGCTGCAGAAAGGGTGGCCAAGAGTGACAGCGCTGCCAGTCCTCTAGTCCTAAATCCCCGCACACTCACCCTGGGAGCTCAGCCTGGGCCAGGCAGTCCTGGGCTTCCTGTCCTCCCCCACAGGTGGCACCGCCTCTGACCTCCTCCTGGCACCATTTCACAAGGCAGCCCCCGGAGTGGGGCCTGCTCCCAAAGCCCAGGGTCCCCTGTAGTCCAGGCTGCGTACTCTGCTTGACCTGAGCTTGCCCGGCCGACCGATCCTCTCAGCCCGTGGGTTGGTGCTAATTGGTTGGGCGGAGGCCTGCTTGTTTGTTGTTATTACTAACGAGGAGCTGCAGGCCCAGAAGCTGCGCAGAGGCCCTTTCAGGCTCCAGGCTCTGCTTTCCTGGCCAGGCCCCTCTGGCTCGGGACTCCACGTAGCACTTTATTTTCCTGCTACTGGGGACTGAACCCAGGGCCTTCACACTGAGCTACATCCCCAGCCCTTTTTAATTTTTTTGTTTTGAGATAGTATCTTGCTCAAGTCTGTGATCCTCCTGCCTCAGGGTGCCAGGCTCAGAGGAGGCACAGCCTGGTGCAGGTGCTCGCGGGAGAGGGAAGGGATTAATTCGTTGCCCCTGCTCTCCTGCCCAGAGTGGGAAGCTGTGGGGTGGCCGGTTTGTGGGAGCAGTGGACCCCATCATGGAGAGATTCAATGCATCCATCGCCTACGACCGGCACCTGTGGGAGGTGGATGTGCTGGGGAGCAAGGCCTACAGCCGGGGCCTGGAGAAGGCGGGGCTCCTCACCAGGGCTGAGAGGGACCAGATCCTGCGTGGCCTGGATCAGGTACTACTCTCTCACTTTCTCTTTTCTTTCTTTTTCTTTTATCTTTTTTTAATGGAGGAACCGGGGATTGAACTCAGGCCCTTCCGCTTGCCAGGGAAGCACTTACTCTACTGAGCCATCTCCCCCATCTCCACAGCCCCATTTTTCTTTCTTTCTTTCTTTCTTTCTTTCTTTCTTTCTTTCTTTCTTTCTTTCTTTCTTTCTCTTTCTTTTTTCTCTTTCCCACTTGCTCACTTTTTTCTTAAATTGTGTTGGGGATCAAACCCAGGAATATTCTATCATTGAAAGACATCTAGGTTTTTTCTTATTTTTCATTTAGAGAGTCTCTCTTTAAATTGCCTTGGTGGGGGCCGGCCAAATAGCTCAGCAGATTAAAGTGCCTGCAAGCAGGTGCAGGGACCGGGGTTCGATCTCAGGCCTGCTATGCTGACTGGCCCCATCCCCGGGGCATGCTGAGAATGCAGTTGAGACTGGGCATGGTGGTGCATCCCTATAATCCCAGTTCTTGGGAGGCTGTAAACAGGTAGATCATTATGAGTCTGATCTACTAGTGAGACCCTGAACGCCCTGTAGACTCTTCCCTAAAATTAAAAAAAAAAAAAAAAATTGCCTTGGTAGGACTTGTACTTGAGATCCTGAGGCCTCAGCCTCCCTTGTGCTGGGATTACGCACGCACATTCTCCACCGAGCCCACCACTCTCTTCATCTTTTAAAGACTCCCATAAGCTCCTTGATGGAGAAGATGGGCTTGGCCTGAGATGCTCCTAGGGGATTGGGGCACTCCAGGACTCAGTTTCCCCACAAGGACAGTCAGCCACCTGGCACAGGAAGCCACTCAGCTGCTGATGCCTCCACATGACCCCTCGCTGTTCCTGAACAGGTGGCTGAAGAGTGGGCCCAGGGCACCTTCAAGCTGCACCGCAATGATGAGGACATCCACACGGCCAACGAGCGGCGCCTGAAGGTGTGAGGGGCCCGTGTCTCCTCTGCCTGCCTGGCCTCCCTCCCCTCCTGTCCGGGTCACTCGCTGTCATTCTCTTCCCTTTGGCCTTGGAATCTCGTGGAAGTGGGGGTACCCTGCAGGGTTGGGGAGAGGCTGCTGCAGCACCAGGGCCTGGTGGCCCCTCTCGTGGTGGCCTGCAGCCCTGACCCCGTGCTCTGTCACCCCAGGAGCTCATCGGAGATGTGGCGGGGAAGCTGCACACGGGGCGCAGCCGCAATGACCAGGTAGTGACGGACCTCCGGCTGTGGATGCGGCAGACCTGTACCTCACTCTTGGGGCTGCTGCACGAGCTCATCCGGACCATGGTGGACCGGGCAGAGGCGTAAGAGAGGACACGAGGGTGGTAGGCTCACCCATCCCCTCTGCAGGTGGCCTGAGGTGGCCAGGGTAGACAGCCAGGAAACCCCACCCTCTGAAGCCACCAGGGCAGAGCCACTGGCCCCCCTCACCTGGCATCCCCAAGCCTGTGCTGCCACACCCCAGTGTCTTCAGTTCCTGGCCAGGAGCTGCTGAGTCCCTGCGTGGCATTCAGGACAGGGCTCACCCTGCTCTTTCCTGGGCCTGTGACTCCTTATGCTGGGACACACAAAGACATAAGGACAGTCACCCTGGGGTGATGAAAGCGTTCTTCAATTGACTAAATTATAGCTGCAAACCAAAGCATACACTTTAAATGGGTAAATTGAATGTTTTATTTATTTATTTATTTATTTTCTTTTTGGGGGGGAGGCCTGAACATGCCTTCAGGGCATTTCTGGTTTGGCAGGAATATCTGGGTTCGAACCAGTGCGACTTGAGCCTCACTGCTTTCTTAAGCAGGCACTTAAAAAGAACTGAGCTAATGGGCGGGCCCCCTGAATGTTTTATATATTTAAAAAATAATGACCAGCCAGCAGCTCCTTTGCCATTGCCCTGTCATTCATTCTTCATTCATTCATTCATTCATTCATGGGTACTAGGATTGAACTGGGGCCTTCACATTGAACTACACCCCCAGCCTTCCCAACTTTTTCCCCAGGGTTTTGAGATAGTCTCTTGCTGGGTGGTCCAGGGTGGGCTTTTAACTCGTGATCCTCCTGCCTCAGCCTCCCAAATGCTGGGGTTGCAGTGTGTGCCACCACGCCTGGCTTCCCGTTAAGGTCTCATACTAGTCACTTTGCTGTTGCTTTGATGCCCCCTGAAAGTTAAAGGAGGGAGACTTTAGTTAGCTCACAGTTTCAGAGGGTTCATGGTGGCCTGGAATTAGAGAAGGGAGGGGAGGGGCTGAGGACAAGAATGTCCCTTGCCAGGACACACACAAGAGATCACCTCCAGCCTCCTAACAGCACGCTCAGCTCTGCACATGTATGAATCCACTGATGAGTACAGCACCCATAATCCGGTCACCTCCCACACACAGGAAACCGGGGGACACACATCCAAGCCATAACAGACTTAGGTATCTCCAGGGGACTGCTTGGTCCCTTGTGTGGACGGGCTTGTGAGCCACCCAGCTCTCCCTGGAGGCCCCAGGTCCTCATGTCCCAGGCAGGCCATGCCTGGCCCCAGCCTTCAGACCCCCGGTCCTCTTGTCCTTGCAGGGAACGCGATGTCCTCTTTCCGGGGTACACGCACCTGCAGAGGGCCCAGCCCATCCGCTGGAGTCACTGGATCCTGAGGTGAGCTGGGGACATGTGGGAGGTTAGGGAGACCAGCTGCCCTGAGCCTGCAGCCCTGGCTTCCCACAGCCACGCCGTGGCACTGACCCGGGACTCTGAGAGGCTGCTGGAGATACAGAAGCGGATCAACGTCCTGCCCCTGGGGAGGTGAGTGAGGCCAAAGAGCCCCAGGGCTTGGGATGTGGGGTGTGGTCCTTTGGGAGTGGCACGAGAAGCTGGGGACAGAAGAAACAGGCAACAGGGTAATAGGTGGCAAAATCATGATACACGGTGAATGTGTAAGGTGCAAAAAGTATCTTGCAGTAGAATGTCAACATGAGTCCCTCCCAAATCGTCCCCCGTGCTGTGACCGCGCTTCAGTCACACAGCGCCAGGTCCAGTGAATAAGGTGGACGAGGTCACAGCGTTGTGTTTTTATGAGCCCATTTCTCTGTTGGATGGCCTCAGCAGCAGCACTGACTATTTTTCTTTGCGGAACCGGGGATTGAACTCAGGCCCTTGTGCTTGCCAGGGAAGCTCTTATTCCACTGAGCCATCTCCCCGGCCCCAGCATTGACTATTTTTTATCACACCTGCTAAAGACATTCATGAGAGAAGACGTGTAGAACTTCAGTAAGTGGCAGGCATGATGGAATGAATGGTTAAAGCAAGGGTGCAGCTCTTGAGGGGAACTCGTGGCACTGTACCTTTTATTATAGTCATCTTTTTTCATATAAATAGTCACTGTATATTTCAACTGCCCCAGCTAAGCCAAGAGAAGGGCTTACAGCCGCACGGACCCATGTCTCAGATGGGGACAGCTAAAGCTGGTAACGTGTCCTAGCAGGGCCAGGGCTCTCTCAGAGCCAGCTGCCTACAAACTGCTGTTCCCCTGCACAGGGCCATGTGTTCTGATGTCCCAGGTGCCAGGCCAGGGAAAGGCCACACCCCAGGGTGCACTGTGGCCACCAAGGCTTGGTTCTGCATGTGCTTTATGTGCATGTGTGTGTGTGTGCATGCGTATGTGCATATGTGCGTATGTGTGTGCGTGTGAGCGCATGCTCGTGCCTGCCAGGAGGCCTGGCCCGTCTAACTTCTGTCTCTTCTCATCCCTGCTCCTTCAGTGGGGCCATTGCGGGCAACCCTCTGGGTGTGGACCGGGAGCTGCTCCGAGCAGGTGACATGCACTGCCCTCCTCCCTGCTGTCACTCCATCTGTTCTGTCCCACAGGGGTGACAAAGCCGGCCCTGTCCTTATCTGGGGTTGCTTGTAGCATGGAGCCTGGCATGGGGGAGCTTGGGGGTCTTGCCCGGTCCTGTGACTCTGCTGCAACCCTTTGCCCACCCCCATCATCCTTCCTGGGAGATGGCTGAGGCAGCCAGGGCCGTTTTGGGGCAGTGGAGCCCCCTTTCTACCCTCCAGCCAGCCCCATGTCCCCTCCATTCCCAGAACTGAACTTCGGGGCCATCACACTCAACAGCATGGATGCCACCAGTGAGCGGGATTTTGTGGGTGAGTTGCGGGTGCCAGCCCACTTCTTTCCAGGACATGTCCCTGTACCACGACACCTCTGTCCCCAGCCCCGGCTTCTCTGTGGCAACTCCCACCCCCACTCCCTGAGCTTCTGTAGGCTGGGCAGGGACAGGGAAGCCTCGGGCCGCGCGAGTGCCTGCTGTCCCCTGCCCCCTGCTCAGTGGAGTTCCTGTTCTGGGCATCCTTGTGTGGGACACACCTCAGCAGGATGGCCGAGGACCTCATCCTCTACGGCACCAAGGAGTTCAGCTTTGTGCAGCTCTCAGATGCCTACAGGTAGAGCCTGCCCACCTCTGTCCCCCTCTTGGTCTCCGCTGCTGTGGCTCTCTGTGTCCGCAGCCTGTCCCAACACAGCCCGTGCCTCAGACTCAGCCTTGTATCCCCAGTACTGGAAGCAGCCTGATGCCCCAGAAGAAGAACCCGGACAGCCTGGAGCTGATCCGCAGCAAGGCAGGCCGCGTGTTTGGGCGGGTAAGCAGCGGGACTGGTGGCTGGGTGTGTGGGCCTCGGCCTGACCATGCTGTCGACCTAGACACGCAGTCGCCTGAGCCACCTCTTCCCACAGTGCGCTGGGCTCCTGATGACCCTCAAGGGACTTCCGAGCACCTACAACAAGGACCTGCAGGTGCAAGGGCAGGGGTGGCGGGCACCCCCAGAGTGGCCTTGACCTTCCCGTCCCGTGCATCCCCGTGCCCCTAGCCAGGGGCAGGGTCACTGGGCCTCACCCCTGCATGCACCCCAGGAGGACAAGGAAGCTGTGTTTGAAGTGTCGGACACCATGAGCGCCGTCCTGCAAGTGGCAGCAGGCGTCATCTCCACCCTGCAGGCAAGGCCACCCCTCCCTGTCCAAGGCTGTGTCACTGCCACTAAGTCTGCATGGGTCATGACGGAGCCTCTAGAGAGGAGGTCGCAGGGGCTGAGGGGCCTGGTCTTGCTCCTGAGGAGCTGGGAGTGGAGTAGGTGCTGTCCACCGGCCAGAGCACATCCTTTTCTTCACTCCTTCCAGTTCTTTAATTTGTTCTTTCTTCTGCCTTCTTCTCCCCTCTTTTCCCTTTTTCTCTTCTCCCCTCTTTTCCTTTTCCCTCCTCTTTCCTCCCTTTCTCTCCCCTTCTCTCTCTCCTGAAAATTGCACTCAGGGCCTTTATACTGAGCTGACTCACCTGCCTTTTTCTTTTTATTTATTTATTTAGGTGGAACCGGGGATTGAACTCAGGCCTTTGCGCTTGCCAGGGAAGCTCTTACTCTACTGAGCCATCTCCCCGGCCCCTTATTTTTTATTTTGATACGAAGTCTTACCTAAGTCACCAGGTTGCCCAGGCTGGGCTCAAACTTGATCTTCCTGCCTCAGTCTCCCCAAGTGCAGGAATATAAGCATGCACTACCACACCTGGCCTAGCTTCAGCGATAATCATTCATTCATTCATTCCCACCAGTAACACTGGGGCACATTCCAGCGTCTCCATTGCGCCTCTAAACAATTTGAGTGAGGTGTCAAGGTGTGTCCCAGTAAGCTGTGTCAGCCCCCCAGCCCCTGAGAATCTGAGAAACGCAAGGACCTAGGCCTCCATCCAGACCAACTGAGTCAGACACGGTGGGGTAGAGCCCAGTGTTTGTCTTTCTGAGATAGCTCTATGCAGTGCAGGCTGGCCTTGAGCTCACCTTGTAACCCAGGCCGGCCCGGGACTCGAGGTGACCTTTCTTCCTCGGCCTCCCAAGTGCTGGGATGACAGGCGAGAGTCACCAGGCTGCTGGAGCATACAGCCCGGAAAGACAGGCTGTTCCCGGTGGTGACTTCCTGGCAGGGCGGGCCCAGGGCCCTGTGTCGCAGGCCCTGGGGTCTCAGGACTCACTCTCCCCGGTCCCCAGATCCACCGTGAGAACATGGCGCGGGCGCTGAGCCCTGATATGCTGGCTACCGACCTCGCCTACTACTTGGTCCGCAAAGGGGTAAGCGCGGTGGGGTAGAGCTTGAGGACCAGGGACCCTGGTGGGCGTGGGGTGCAAAAGGTCAGGTCCCAGAGCCCACACTGCCCTCTGCCGCCAGATGCCATTCCGCCAGGCGCATGAGGCATCTGGGAGAGCCGTGGTTCTGGCTGAGAGTCGGGGTGTGGCGCTCAGTGAGCTGTCCCTGTCGGAGCTGCAGGGCATCAGGTGCGTCCCCTCCCCTTCCTCTCCTCCCTTCCCCTCCCTTCCCTTATCCCTCCCCTCCCCTCCCTAATCTTCCCCACCAGCCCCCTCACCCACCGCTGCTGTCCCCACAGTCCCCTGTTCTCTAGCGACGTGAGCCGCGTGTGGGACTACGGCCACAGCGTGGAGCAGTACAGTGCTTTGGGTGGCACGGCGCGCGCCAGCGTTGACTGGCAGATTGGCCAGGTGCGGGCCCTGCTGCTCGCCCAGCAGCCACCGAGCCCCGCAGCCCAGTGATGGCGCCGAGGGCCCAGGTCAGGCTCCCCTTTCTCCAGTTCTCCATGCTCCTTTCCTCTGGCACCCTCGGAGAGGTCGCTGGGCCCAGCCCTGGTGCAGGAGTGCCGGGTGCCCAGCACCGAGGGAGGCTGAGGCAGGAAGATCCCCAAGTTCAAGCCCAGGCTGGACAATTGAGTAATTTAGCAAGGCCCTGTCTCAAAATAAAAAATGAAAAGGGCTGGGGATGTAGCTCAGTGGCATAGCGCCTGTGGGGTGGCTCCCCAGTACCACGTGTACATGTGCATGTGTGGGCACAGGCACACGCACGCGTGCACACGCGCACACACACACACACACACACGCACAGTGAAGATACTGCCTCCTTCCAGCTGGGGGAAGATGAACGGATCAGTCCCCCATTGCTCACCGTGGAAATGCAGTGTCCTGTGGGTGTCCCCGCACCACAGACACAGGTGACAGCCAGGTGAGGCAGGTGACAAGTGTGTCAGGGACACTGGGCAGAACACCTCGCCTACAGAATCACACCAAAGTCATGGAAGAGATGTCTGCCATCTGCCGGTGTAGGGGGGGGGCAGCCTGGCGTTACAGCACCTGGAAGGCTGCGGCAGGAGGACTGCAAGGCGGGGTCCAGCCTGGGCAGTGCAGCAAGTAGGCAAGACCCTGTCTCAAAATGCATTTTAAAACGACCGGATGTAGCTCGGGGCAAAGGCTGTGGGTTCAATTAGTTCACACACATGAAAATGCCCGGTATTTACATTTTATTAACAAAGAAGATAAGCTAAAATGAAAGAATAACCAACACCTGATTCTGAGAACAAAGAGAAACTTTTTGTAAACCAAGGAACCAAAATCCCAGCCAAGGGGACGTGACTGCAGATTCCGGAGTGAACCACAGCTGCAGATCACAGAAATTTCCAAGTGGCTCCTGTTCTATCCTTACCGGGAACAAGAAGTCAAAAACACACATCGCAGGTCAGCTGAGCCAGGCCAGTGGTGCGCGCTTAGGGTTGCAGCACTCGGGAGGCTGAGGCAGGAGGATGGCTTCGAGGTCTGGGCCAGCCTGGGCTATACACAGCGAGTCCCTTCAGGCCAAGTGGAAACGATCCAGACAAGCGGGCTCAAAGCCCGGGCGAGCCCGCTAGACTGTGCCACCCGCCTGCCCAGAGGGAGGCATCCTTGAGCCTCTGCGTGGCCCCGCCGACGGCCCCTCCTGTCACCTCCACAGAGCCGGTGCCTCCCGGCTCCATCTTCCCGGACGGACCGACGTGTGGTCTTTTTTTTATTTTTTTATTTTTTTATTTTTTTTCCGACGTGTGGTCTTAACCTCTGTCTGGGCTCTGCTCAGGACGAGCCGATGTTCTTGGCACACGAAAGGCCCCTGCGATGCATAGGGCGCCCCTAGCGGCAGGCGGGCGCAGGCTGGCTGCGTGCGTTAACCGGGTCTCCGCAGCCCCTCGCACCGTTCCATTCCAACCTTGAGGTTAAAGATTTGAGTCCAGTCGGGCGCGCGGCAGCGACGACACCACGTGCTAAGGGCACAGATCTGAGCACCCTGCGAGGATGAGGCGGGAGGATCGGAAGTTTGGACCCAGCCTGGATAACTCGGCGACTTGGCAAGACCCTGTATCAAAAAATCATTATGTTAGAAATGGTGCTGGGTTCCATCGCCAGTCCTCAAAAGAAACGAAAGAAAGATTCTAAGGTAGCTTGGGTTCCATGGAAACGTACAAATAGGGTTTAACACAGATTTCTGGGGATCACGATTCACCTACCACAGAGGTTCACACGTAGCTACGTGAAAAACACATGAGCCCCCTCTCAAGGCCCCCTAAAATCTCAGCACATTCATGCATGAACCAAGCCTGCGTCCCACCCACACCTCCTCAAGCCTGAAGCCTGCGGTCCCTGTCCCTCAGTGCCCACGAGGCTGGGGGGAAGGGGGGCTGGGGACCCAGCCTGTTCGTGGTCGTGGTGAGGACCAAGAGAGTTCACACCGCGAAACCCAAGAGCAAGGTGTGGGCACGCAAAACACTGCGCAGCAGCAGCCGACAGTCACAGGTGTTGCCATTTAGAAAGGAAGCAAAGGAGCCCTGCGTGTTGGTGTGTGCCTGTGACCCCAGAGCTCAGGAGGCCGAGGCAGGAGGATCCCCATGACTTCAAGGTCAGCCTGGGCTACTCAGTGAGACCCTGCCTCAGAAAAGCTAAATAACAAGTGTGGCTAGACTAAGAATTCTTCAAATCCTGAGGTCATGAACTTTTGGTTTTGTGATATTGGGGACTTAACCCAGCACCTTTGCACCGAGCTGCATTCCTAGCCCATTTTAAATTTTGAGAGGTCTTGCTAAGTTTCCAAGGTGCCTAGGGTGGGCTAGAACTTGCAACCCTCCTGCCTCAGCCTCCCAGCGTTCCGTCTCCTTTACTCATGTGCAGAGAACAAGTCTGGCCACGCACACCTGTAGTCTCAGCTATGGCTCTCAGGAGGCTGAGACAGGAGGATCACTGAGCCGAGTTGGCAACCAGCCTGGGCAAAATAGTAAGATCTACTCTCAAAAGAAAAGACCTCTCCCATCTAACCTTTCAGTTTGTTTTTTTGAAATGTGCTTTCACTGTGTAGCCCAGGCTGGCCTCAAACTCCTGGCAAGCTTCCTGCCAAGCGCTGGGATTACAGGTGTGTGCCACCACAAACAGCCTTACAGTGGAGTTTAGCACACTCGGCACGTATGTAGCCTCCTGGCTGTGTCTTTGCCATAGTTGTCACAATTGGCAGGGAGAATACTCATGCAGGCCCCGCAGAGAGGCTGCCCCCTAGCGGTCTACACCTGCGGAGCAATCTCTTGCTCCAGATGGCGCTTTCTTCAGTTGCAACTGAGCAAGCGGAGAGCCAGTGCTAGCAAAGCAGCTGCCTGGCTGGGTGTGAGGGAGCTGGTCTAAGGCCAGCACTCTGGGAGGCTGAAGCAGGAGGATTGCAAATTAGAGCTCAGCCTGGACAACGGAATGACAGTGAGACCCTGTCTCTAGATCTAAAGGAGTTTCCAAAGGGCTGGGATATAGTTCACTGTGAAGGCTCCAGATTCAATCCTAGTGCCACAGGAGGCCAAAAACCCCAGCCAACTTACTCCAACTTTCATATATTTATATATTCATGTATTTATAGGTAGATACTTCGTATATATAGAACTTTCCATCGTTAATTAGTATGCAAACATAGTATATTTAATTTTGTATAAATTAGTATGATTTACATAATTATATGCTATTATATAAGATTATCAAATTGTTTCTACAATTGATAAAGGATGATTTTTAGGACTATGGAGGGATTCCTAAAAAATCAGCTGCAAATAAAGATAGGACTGCCAGGTGTGGCGCATGCCTGTAATTCCAGCATTTGGGAGGCTGAGGTAGGAGGATTTCCGTGAACTCAAGGCCAAGAGAGAGAGAGAAAAGAAAAAAGAGAAAAAGAAAGAGAAAAAAAAAAAAGTATGCGCTTAGCCCGGGTCCCTGGCCTCAATCCCCAGACCCGCCACAAAGAAAAAATAGCAAACCCGACGAGAAAGGGGGTGAATCTGACGGAGAATATGGCCTCGGAGATGGACAGCCTGGGCAAAGGGGACCGCGCTTCCTCCCAGGCTGGGACTGGCAAACGCAGGAAGCGCCAGGGAGATTGCTGCCGGCCTGCGGGCCAGTGAACCTTAACGAGCAGGTGTGGCGAAGGGAGCAGCCGCTAGAGGGAGCCACCGGGTTGCGTTTGTGCAATAACCAAGTGCTGGGATTCCAGGAACCCCTGGACAGGTGGGGATGTCCCATCGGAGGGGTGCTGTCTCTGATGGCAGAGAAAGCAGTGGTTCTGGGAACCGAACTCAGGACCTCAGCCTTGCCAGGCAGGCACTGTACCCCTGAGCTATATCCCTGGCCCTTCTATTTCTCTTTTTAAACAAGAAGTTTATTTAAACAAGACAGTTGACTTAAAGGGAACACTAGGATCCTTCTTGTAAAAGAGTAATTTTCTCTGAAAGATAGATTGCCCTACATGTAGCAGCTACATATGAAAAAGTTATAAAATTCTCCTTGGTTTCACAATGATAAATGGAAAACATTGAAATTTCCCAGTCTAACAAAGTATGCAAGGGTTTTGTTGTTAAGCCAGTAAAAACAAAATTTCTTATTAGAGCCCAGTGGAGCAGGCCTGTGATCCCAGTGCTCAGGAGGCTGAGGCAGGAGGATCACCATGAATACGAGGCCAGCCTGGGCACACAGAGAGACCCTTTCTCAAGAAACAAACAAACAACACCTCCCCCCACCAAAAATAAATAAATAAAACAGTTTTACTAGAAAAAACAAAACAAAACAAAACAGAACACCCTGCAGGACTAGAAGGGTCCAAACCCAGTGAAGGCGCCTCGGAGGGTGAAGGGGCTGCTGTCACAGAAGCAGGGTGCTCCCTGTCGATCTGCATTTGCTGTCCGTGGAACTTGTGGCCGCTGCTAACAGGGATGCCTGGCATGCATGCCTTGAGCAGACGCCCCTCGGGGGATGGGATTGGAAAGCACTGCCAAGGGCTGGCGCGGGGACCAGCTGCAGCTCCCTCCTGCCTGTGCGGCCACAGCTGTCACTAATCGGATCCCATCTGCTGCCACACAACCCCCCGGCGGGCCTGGTGGGCTCGGTCAGTTACCCCTTCCCCTGGCTTCTCCCACCCCGGCTGCCAAGTCCTGGAGGGACCAGGTGGGACCCGGGAAGATGGGCTGAGTGTGCGTGAGGCGGCTGGAGGACTTGCGGGCCTTGTGGCTATGTGCCTTGCACGGTAATGCACTTAAAGTAGAGAGGTGAGATTTTCACACCAAAGTTTTCTGGTCTCTACGTATTTCAGAGTCAGCATTTGTCTCTTCCACACAGCGCACATTTCCCTACCAACCATGCCTTGTCACACTTCTTAGTGGGTGCTCTGCATTTTCAGTTAGATAACCTCTTCTGACACCTTCCTGTTAGTTTTTTCTCCTTCCTTCCTTCCTTCCTTTTTATTCTTTTCTTATAGTGAATTGGGGTCTCACTAAGTCATTCAATTGCTCAGGCTGGACTCAAACTCAAAATCCTCCTGCCTCAGCCTCCCAGAGTAGTGGTATTTCAGGTGTGCGCCACCTGCTGCCTGATACCCGGCTTCTCAGAGACAGGAAGTAGGCGCACCTCTTGCAGGAAAAGGCCACACTCAGGAGTGGCCAAGAGCCCCTTGTGCTGTGACCTCCCCAGACTGTGGGGCAGAGGCACAGAGTCCCCAGTGATGGGTGGGCAAGGCAC